CGCCCGCCTAGTCCTCCTCCCCTACAGTGCCTCTTTCTTTCCTCAGAACGAGTGAAGAGGGGAAAAAGATATTGAGAACGGATCCAGTTATTCAGACCCTTATCTATTTGATTGGTTACTTTGGGTCAGATCTGACCCGAGTCAAAGTGGTTCAGATCTGTTTATTTTGGGTTCATTTGTATTGATCTGTATTCGTGATTGCTCGATTCTGTTGGTGTATGGCTGATCCTGATGCTGATGACGGACTCATGCTAGATCCAGAGACCGGCATAGTAGATCTACAACTTTCCCCGTGGTTTGATTATCAGTCATTCGAGAGCGTGCCCGAGTACGTTGAGCGTGTGACTCATCAGATTGTCGGTAGTGTGGAAGCTCAGTTAGGTATCAGTTCGTTTCATAGGCGTTTCAGTCCAGACGCGCCACTTCATCCCAATTACGTGGCTCTCGGAGGAGAACTTCCTCCCCTCATTTTTGGCGTGTACGAACCACCACCAGAGGAGCCTCCCGTCGAACCAGTTCAACCCGACGAAGGTTTAACTTTCTTTCGCCCAAATATTTTCGGAACCGCTTTTGCTTGCATGTTGCTATCAATATTATTATCAATTGTATTTGTGCTGTATTCAGTTTGATTAAGTGAGCGAGCGAATCTGTTGCTAAGTACTTTTACTTATCTAAATATTACAATTTGAACTATATTGAGAGAACGAATCATTACATTTATTTTCTGGATCATTTACGAAAGATTTGAACTTAGTACATTGTAACTTTTGCTTAAAATCCATCGAAAGCTACACTTTATTCTAGAGCTTCCTGTCTAGATCGATCGCTGATTTGGCGAAGCATTGTTGTCGTTAATCTTCATACCTGCATCACATTGTTTCGCATCATATGTCCAAGAAGTGTCCATAAAGTTTGGGTACGGGAAAGTGTTGGGTACGTGTCCGAGACGGGTACGGCTTCATTATAGAAGTACCCGGGTAACATAGCTAGTGGGACTTAATTTGCAAGCTTTGTGACATTTATATGGTTTTGAAATGACAAAATTCGTGAAAACACCACATCTCTAAGACCAATAACTTCCATATGGCAGGGAGACAAGTCAGGCAACTATGGAAGTGTCTTAGTTATGTGTGATTTCTTGCCTCAATACGTGTGGCATTTGCACATAAAGCGCTAGGGGCTTCTAGGCGTCGATCTGGCGCTTAGCGCCTAGGCGCCTAGACGACCGCGTTGTTTTTTTGTTGTTTAATTGGAGGTGGAGGAGATTTCTCTGAAGATTAGGGGAGGTGGAGGAGGTGCTCGGAGTCGGTGAAGGAAACTAGGGAGGTCGGAGAACGCGGGGGCGACAGCGGAGGAAATCAGACCACGACCAAAGGTTTGTAGTCTACATAATGGTCCATGTTCCCTAGGCACTTCCAAGACCTAGGCGGGTGCCTAGATTGCTTTTTAAAACTATGGATATGCCCATACGATAGATCTTTGAACAATACTATACTGACGCAAATAGGAAATTTTATTTTGAATATTTATTGTGAAATGTCAACATTTAAGTTAATCTTTTTGACAGTTTAAAGGTAAATGATACTTTAGCCCTTGTAGACTAGTACATTAGGAAGACTGATGTAGGCAGGGTAGCTGCTTTTAAACCAGGTTCTCATGGTGCAACTTAATGTATCGGAGATTTGAGTTCAATACTGTATTTGGATATCAACTATTATTTTTGGTGTTACATGTGCATAGAATCTGCTAAGTGTCCAAAACGTTAATGGGCTATAAGATTGAGGAATTATTACATAATTGCTGAACAAGCCTACAGTGGCGTGATTTCATTTTCTGAGCACAAAATTTAGTCCTCGAAAGGAAATGAAAAATATGTGTGCGATATTTGCGTGGCATAAAATATGTTGTCAGGATACAAGAGTCCTTATTAAGAAGTGATTCAAGTGAAATTATTAATCATTTCCATTATTAGAAAATTGCAAAAGATATGCAAATGATGGTCAATAAAGTTTCAAAAAATCACCTTGACGGGACAGGACCTATAAGGCATGGCTGCTGTTCTGAAAGAAGTTAGAAATTGAACGGTTAAGATTTCCATCCTGAATGAGGCTTGCCTTCCACGATGATCATCCTTATGGATGCATGTTATAGTACTATCCAGTACTTATGAGCCTTGGAGGATTTGTTTAGATATCATTCACTTATAATGTTTATTTACGTTATAAATTGTACAGTTTTGTATTTGGATGCACTGATAATTTGGAGAACTGGAGATTTAACTTTCACCATACCCACATATCAAACTTCAAGATCACACTGTTCGGTGAAACTGATCAAACATTCCTAGTTATTTCGCCAGTCTATTTTTTTCTTATGTTTGCTTTCGTTCTGCTTCATAAGGTCATTGCAGAGAGCACTTGATAGAAGACTTTATCTTCTCCTTTATGGTACCTCATATGGAGCTCCTGACAAGAAGCCTGTTTGGCATTTTCCCGAGAAGGTTTATGAAAACGAAGAAACTTTGCGATTGGTAAACTCTTATAGTTTCTCCTGCTGCATTTACAAGTTATAAATATACTGTTTGTACCTACTTGATCCTTCTTTATTTGATATTCTTCACATGGCCTCGTAGTCCCATCTGTTTTAAAGAAATTTACTGAAGAACTGATTCGATAGTACCATTTCAAATCCTTAAATTTCAGTGTGCAGAATCCGCATTAAAATCTGTGCTTGGAGGACTGCTGAATACATATTTTGTTGGAAACGCTCCCATGGCTCATATGACAATAGGTCCAACAGAAGATTTACCAGACACTCCATCATTTAAGGTAGCCACATCCATACTTCAAAGTTCCCCCATTGCCCTTACCAACTTACATTTCAAGTATTCATATGCTGACTTTTGAAATATCTGATTCTAAAATTTGTTTTGAATAAAATTTGCAGAGTGGATTTTTTTTTTATTGTTGGCATCCATGGATATCCGAAGTAATGTTTTCTTTTTGATCTATTGTGAATAAGATTTACAGAGCAGACAGTACCTATATTGGCTCTTGCTTGCTGCCCCTTATCATTTAAAGAAATATGCAGTGCCATATTATTATGTCACAGATCTAGTAATCCTGAACTGGAAATCGCTGAGAGATGTGCACTAAATAGTTCCTGAAAACAAGCTAACCTTCAGAAATATCTTCTCCTTCGAAAGAGCAAAATCTACTTTTCAAATGTAATTATTTTTTTAGAACCTTAACTGCTTTTGGAACTTATATATCTTTCTAAAGTCCTACTTCATACTTGTATGGAGATAATATAGCCTCTAATTACTAAATTCTTTTTCTTCTTCTTCCTCTTCTATTTACGTGTACATATTATTTACCTTTTAAATAGCTCATCATTCACTACAAGGCGCAAGCTGCTACCCAGATACAAATCCATTTCTTGAACGAGTTAACTACGAGTTAACTACTCCTTTTTAGTATTATTTTAGTTGGGGGCATATCCTAAAACTCCACTTTTCTTAAAAACACCCTAAACTGAGCCAGGGTCAGCCCTGACCCATTTTTAAAGGGTTGTCAAACACACCCTTTGGTGTTTGCTGTATAGTTTCATGCCATAGTTTGATTTACCTTTCCCTGGCAGCAAGATGATACGTATCAGAATTCAATCTTTTTAACTGCTAAGACTATTAAAACACTTACAGGTTTGTTTTCTTGCAGAGTTAATATATTCTAACCATGTTTCATCTTTGTTTTTAGGCTTGTTTAAATTACCTTAAATTTGGGTTTGATACATATGAAGTAATAGATAAAGTTATGTAACCTAATGTTCTACCCTTTCTGCTCCACACTGGATTTGAAAATTTTCATTTGCAGATTCTATTTGGGTACTACAAGAATGGCAACAACAAAGTTTTTATCCCAAAATTTGGGGGCCATCTATAGGAATCCTATTCTTCCATTATTTTCTGTTGACAGCTATCTTCTCCATTAAGTTATTTTAAGACCGATGAAGAAAAGATTATGTTCACATTACCAATATGATGTGTTGAAATTGCAAGATTCGATTCCATTTTACTCCATTACCATCAGCATAACATCTAATTGGTATAAATTCTCTAATTGAAATTTCACAGAAATCCTAAAAATTACAGGGACATTAACTTTGTTGAGTTTCTGTATCAAATGGGTCAAACTATATACCTAAGTATATTTTAGAAGCATTTTCTTTGTAATATAATTTTTTCTTGTTTTGATTTGCAGCAATTCTTTTTCAAATCGCAAGTAATCGGGACCAGCAAATTAAGTATTGGGAATTGCGAGGATTATGTCTGGGTGACAAAGGATGAACTGATGGAATATTTTCCAGAAAAAGCTTCATTCTTCAACCAGATGATCATTAGCTGAAGGCAATCACAGAGCTGATATAAGATGCATCTTTAAGCAATGTAGGTATAGACCCCCATCGGTGTGAGTTTTGAGGACAAACTTTAACTTCAGTGATCCTGGTTGAAACCATGTGTTCTTTGCTATGGAAGTATTTATTTGTCAGCAGAGACATCCCGAGCTGGAAGTTTTTTTTTATATCATCTGTAGTCAGGAAATTCTTCATTGTCGATTCAGTAGATGACCACAACAGAGTATGCTACATCCCTGTGTTAATAATCCTGAAACTTGAATATCCAACTTTGTAGATCTCTGCCAGACTATTTGAGAACTGTTAGTTTATTTAAATTTTCACTCCGGCAGTCTGAGAGCTGGTATGTTTGCTTTTAGAGAAAAAAATTGCTGGAGAGGGAGGCAAGCGTCTCTTCTCTTTCAATATCTGTTTCTATGACTGTCAATAAGATCTTAATTTTAACAACAATCTTATTGATTCGGGCATTTACAGTAGTTCACCCTTCGTAGAAAAGTATGATCAATACAACTTATCCCTATAGGGGTAAATATTGGAAATTGGAACAATCTGACTATTTCCCCTTTAAGCACACGGCCATAAGGAATCTATGCGAGAAATAAGACTTTCGCTTCAAGAAACTTTTCTTCATTATTGGAGCTTTAGTTTCTTCGCTGTGCTCTTGTGTCGCGCCTGATACTGTAACTCTTCTTCCAGATTCACAGCCAGAGCATATGAAGTTACCATTGCGAGCAGTATGACGATGATATGACCAGTCTGATGCAATTCTGCCAGTTTTGCGTACTGCTTTAACGACCGTGTTCTGATCGATATAGCCCAAAACTGTGAGTTTGCTCGATACGACATCTATTTCGACACATGTGACCCCTGTAAAGAAATTTTATCGAGCCATCCGTGTCTAAGAATAAGAGAAACGCTGAGATATAGTATTTACGAGAAAAGGTTTATTGATAGTAAACAATAAGAAAACACCGAGAAATGTACACCATGCACATAAGCGAATCAGGTAAAAAGATACAAAAACAGCTAGTTTATAGAGCGAAGGGATTGTCATTGCCGAATATGAACAAAAACCACGTACTGACTTCAGTTCACGAAAGAGCAATCATAGAAATGTCATCAAGATTTAAATTAAATAAAAAGTAGTCAGAGCCCTTGTGAGGTACCTTTTAGATTGGATAGCGTCTTCCTCACTGATTTCTCACATGCTTTGCAATGTAATCGCACCTTAAGCTCGACCACCTGAGTGGAGAAATAATAAGAGAATTCCCTCGTCTTATTATTATTATTATTTTGGAATTTAGATGCTTGTCGTTTTGAGAAAATGTTGCAAAAAAATGAATGAAGAGAGAGAGAGAGAGAGATTACCTCCATAAAAGGAATGATCTGAAGTTGAGGTTTGGAAATGCTAATGCACATATATACGTATTAAATGGTGAAAGAATAGGAGAACAGTGAAGCTTTAATTCAAAGCAAAGGTGCGGAGGACCATGAGCATATTCCATCATAGGCGATCATTAACTCTAGCATGCGTATCATGAAATCTTATTTAGTTTGTATAAAAGAGAAGTCCATGTCTCACCTAATAATGAATTTTTTCCACATTATAATTATACATAATTATGCTATAATTGTTACAGCGTTACGGACTTGTACAATAAAGACACCACTTTTCGACTGTGCCCGTGTAATATTGGACGTGAATTACAATCATTTGATTGATTATGATCGAGAAAATAGTTTCTCAATTGGAGATGTGACGATGGAAGGGGGGGCCTAAATCTAGCGTTAACCCGGTTAATATGTTTTAAAAGAAGGAAGAAAACACTCCAACTTAAGAATTATTTTCTGCCGTTCATTAAAGAATCGAGTTAGTTTGGCGTTTAAAAACTCGGATTATTTATGAGTTTTGTTGTTTGGCTGAAAATCCCATTGAACTTGGTCCTATTTAACATCACTAGTGTGAACACCGTGCAAAGCACGACATACGGTGCATTATTATTTTTTATGCTACAGTAATTCCGGTTTTAAATACTACAGTAATATTTTGCATCTCGTCTCCGGGACAATTTTTTCAAAAGTGCTAAAGTATCTTCGTGCGCTACTTTTTAAAAATCACCGGAGCATCCTGATTTCTATACGCTACAGTAATAATATTAATATAAGTGTAGATTACTGCAGGCAGTATGAATAGTGATGGTTGGTTCTCCTTTTTATATAGTTTGCGGTCCGTGCTTTGCACGGTTTTTTTTTTTTGCTACAGTAATCCCTTTTTTTAGTAAGTCATGATTTGAATTTTTAAAATTGCTACAGTATCCAGCTCTGCTACAGTACCTTTTAAACGCTAAAGTATACCCCGTGTGCTACAGTAATATTTTTAATTAACTATTAGCTGCATTAATAATGCTATAGTAAATGTTGCTGTCGTATTTACTGTAGCATGAACAGTGAATCTCTGATCCTCCTATTTGTATATAAAGGAATAGATGTCAGCCGTCTGCGTATCTTCTTATTTATTATTTTCTTCTAGTTAAATCAGCTCTTTGTAGACGTGGGTGGTAAAATCTTCAAAGCTTAAGCTGCAGACATCCCCATTTTAGTTGTTCACTTGTTCGATGAAAGATCAGCTCGATGCCCTGGAGGCTGGAGCAAACCAAGTTGAGATTCACTGTCTAAAACTTCGCCTTCGGTATTTCTCTCTCTCCTAATTTCAAGCAAACCATCCAGTAGTTACCAGCTACAAGCACACGCTTTGCTATATGTAATGTATATATTGTGTGGCCGTGTGTGGCAAATTGTGTAAAACTAGGTCAGGACCAGCGCTGACCCAGTTTAACAGGGGGATTTAGTGGCCCGTGTTTTACCTAAAAAACCTGGGTCAGCTTTGGCCCGATTTTTCCTAATCAGGGTTCTTGTCAAAATTGAACCAGGTTTTGAACCTGGTCTACTTTTGAGCGATAGCCATACAAGCACCAGAGAAGCATATTATTTTCCAAGTTAAATTTCGACATCCATGCCTATAGAGCAAATATTAAACATTTTAAATTCAAGAATAGGTACCCACATCAGCGGTCCGGACGGTTAGGATGTTCTAATATGGCTCCTATGTTCTTAGGTTCGGTTCCAAAAAGCATTGACTTCCGAATTATTAAAAAAAAAGAATATGCAAGTTTTGCCTTCCATTCACCATAAGACCCGCAGATTATTAAAATTTATATTCAAGTTGATGACAGAAAAATAAAAGAGATTAAGATCAGAATCCATCAACCGTACATACCATAACAAAAAGGAGAGCACAAGGCATCAGAATTATCTTCTCGGTCTCATTTACTACAATCAGGCAGGTAGTCTGAGGAAAGGCCCCCTTCACAAAATTCACTCAACATCGCAAGAGACCAAAAAAGCTCAGGCACACTTCTGCAGGATCATAATCTGTGAATTGACCAAATCTGTTGAACTTTAAGCATCGACTAATAAAATTTCTACGTCAAGTAACAGTAAATCTGTTGAACTTTTTCGAGAGTTCATTCCCTACTACGAAGAAGTGATCCTCAGAAATCATTCTTCATGAAGTATTAAGCACTCTTAGATATACTAACACCCACACTATCGTAACCCAAATCCCACCGAAAATCCCACGACTAAGGCAAGAAGAAGAAGACTTAATATCATTGACTCCAACCAAAAAACGGCAATCACCAACCGAAGGATCGAGGAAAGTCACCATTCCAAGCCCATCGAAATCACAACTCCTCGGATCCTGCTTCTGTAACTGGTAGTAACTATTGAAGGCATACGAAATATTACCCTTCTCTCCAATTTCATTACACGATCCTCCGTAGCTGAGGGTTGTACAATCTGCGACGCTGCAAGCCAGTTTCATATGATTTGAGACCCCATCGAGATTCTTAGATGGATTAGCGACACACCATCTAGGTGGTAGATATCGAACTTCTCTAGCGTTCCTTAGTCCCCCGCTTCCCAAACCGAGGTTTAAAGGGTACTTTGCTTGTCCGTCGAAGGAGAAAATCCCCCAGTGCCTCTCAAAATTCCCGGGAAGCACACTCTTTTGGCCTTCATCGAATAAACTGAAGAGATATATATCTGCAGGAGGAACCCCAGGTCTTAGAGGTGTCCCTTTGTTACTAAGAACATGACTGATGAGACCTTGGTTAAAGGCTCTCGCTGCGCTAAGATTTGCACTCGTTGCACCGTCAGTAGGCCAACCGACTTCACCTATAACGATGGGCATTTGGCCATAGCCAATCTTATTGAGGGCAGCAACTAAGGTATCGTAATTTCCATCAAAAGCATTGTAGTATATATTCTGGCCATCTGTGACGGGATGAGAAGAACCATCAAAAAAAGCGTAATCTTGGGGGAACTCTGTGTTACCGTAGAGGCTAAGAAAAGGGTAGATATTGACTACGAATGGAGCTCCATTTGAGTTGAGAAAGGAAAGGAGCTGCGTCATGATTTGGGTTAATTCGGGCCTGAACGTTCCTTGAGAAGGAAGGGAGGATTCATAAGCATCAGCATTACAAGGGACTACGAGCTTTACATAGCTTGCGAGGTTTGCTTTCACAAGTGATTGCTGAACATTGGCCATTGCAGGAAGGACTAGGGACTGAAACTGACCCTGGTAGCTTGTGAGGAAGGGCTCATTTCCGACAGCAATATACCTGCAATAATCCCAATAGCTAAATGTTTATTTAAATAAGAGATTAACAAGATAGCAGTAGAATGTAACATTAAGAGAAAATCCTAATACATCACAAATCTGATATTCAGACCAAGTTTGGTCCTCAGCAAAAATCGCTGGGTGAGATGCATGAATCATAGCAACTGCTATACAAAAGTTACATAGATGAGGTAAATTTGCAGAAAAAATATGAAATGTTACATGGAACTGTTAATGAAACTGCTAACTTGAGTATATATTAAAATGCGTCATGTGCACAGTGCATGCCAGCTACACGGTAATCCTTGAAAGATGAATAACTATGCTTGCTATGGTTTCAATATAACATGATAACATCTAGTGAGAATATAACCTGGCATCATCATCTAGAGACCAAGAAGGCCAGTCCAGGTTTAGAACAAGATTTGAGTCACTGACCAAAAACCTCAAACTACTGTAGGCTAAGATTTGTGGTTAGGACCAAAACTACATATTTTCGCAGTTGGTTCATAAATTTAAAGTCCCAAGTGTTTGTCGGAGAGACAACTATAGGTCTAACTTAAGTTGCACATCATAGCTAGTACAATAAAAATAGGAAAACCTACACACACCAATACGTGATGCATTATCACTCTCATTTGCTTACTTAGCTCTGCCAGTGTGGGCCTTATTTTATTGCCAATACTGCTTGTCCCAAGCCAAGATAAAAGAGGAGGGTTGCGTTAGGTAGCCAACAAGTGTAAACCATAGTCGGATCCACGTGAACATGAATCCTCTACTATTGGAAGAATATGATTCATGTAGCCGACCCTAAAAATTGGAATAAATGCTTTCTCGTTGTTTTTACTATCCACAAATCACATGGAAACATGGAGAACTGTTAAATAAATATCGACTTAGCTTTTTTAAGTCTTGATCTTTTGTGTGACACATATCATGCACATAATAAATATGTCTTGGAAATTATAATTTTAGGTACATCGAAAGAGCTGCATTGAAAATGTGGCTTACAGAGTATTTGATTGGTATGGAGCACACATACAGCTCCTAGCTTGAAGTATCAATACTTCATAATACCTAAACTAGGCATCCTATTTGAAAAAACTTCTACACATCTTAGCTGTCAAATCGTTGCAACTGAACAGGCCTGCCTCCTTTTTCCATACCATCGCGTGTCCTGGCGAACTGCGGGGGTAATGGGGTTTTTTTCCTTAGGAGTTTTGGGCTGGCCGAATAATGGTAATCGAAGTGGGTACAATCACTTGCCAATATTGGGACTCAATGAAAGTAACAGAAAACTCAGGGAACTCCTTTCCTTCATGCAACTGACTGAAAGTGGAAGACTTCGCATAATGGAAAGAGAACAACTTAAGACGAAAATCAGAGGCATTTTAGTTTGGGAGAAGTCAAAAACTTATTCTACTAATGAAGCAAAAGTTTATACTGGATCCTAGGTGAATATGGTCAAGTAAATATTGAGAATTGTTCTCCACCCTTTTAACCAAAGGAAAATGTTATATAACATTTCATTTGCTCCTAATTCTCTACAAACTATTTCATTCACTGGCACCTGATTTTAGCACAACTAGTCATAAACCAGCACAACTAACATCAATAAACAATAAACAATATCCCAAACATAACCAACAAAAACAACCCAAATTTTAAAAAGAATTGTTCTCCACCCTTTTAACCAAAGGAAAATGTTATATAACATTTCATTTGCTCCTAATTCCCTACCAACTATTTCATTCACTGGTACCTGATTTTAGCACAACTAGACATAAACCAACACAACATCAACAAACAACATCCCAAGCATAACCAACAAAAACAACCCATTTTTCAAAAACCCAATATACAAAATTTAATAAACCAATAAAAGAACAGAATAACCAAAATTTTTAAATTAAACCCATCATACCTAATATCAGCACCACCTTTAATCAAATATCTAGACACATTCTGGCTAACAAACAAATCAGCAGCAGCAGCAGAGGCGCTCAAAACCCCAAGCATCTCATTAGGAATCCCAATCATAACTTGAATCCCACTACCCATCAAAGCTCTGAGCGCATCTGGGTCAGAATCAAACAGCTTCACCTTCTCAATCTTGTTCTCTCTCAGCAGATCCACAACAATGGGAGGTGGCAGCCTGTGAGTGGACAGACTCCCCCAGTTCACTCCAATACCAGATTCCACAACGAGAACAAATCTAAGGAGAAGCAAAAGGGGCAGAGAAAAATGGGTTGCAGCCATTTTTGCCTGGAGAATGGGAAAATGGGTTCAAAAACAGTTTTTTTTTTTTTTGGCTCTCTCTCTCTCTCTCTCTCTAACTGAGGGAGGGGAAAGCGTGAATAAAAATGGTATCTTGGGTTTAGTGTGAAGAGCGTGAAGAATGAAGGGATGTTAACTCGTTGAGTGTTTTAATTAGAGAAGAGAGAGTCGGTTTAAATGGAGTAATCAGTTTGAGTAAAGTTAACCTGCCTGAATTATTTTAAGATAATATTTTGTCTTTTTTTTACTACTGGTTGGTAGCAGATTACGTCAGTTCGAACTTTTTGACTGTACAGGGTATAGATGTTAACGGGTCGGATCAGGAGTGACTCGTACCCGTAAGTTTGGATTAGTGGAATGTAACTAGAATATATTTCTTTGGCGGGCAACAATATATATGATTAATTAAAAGATGTATTAAGAGCTTCTCTGTTTTTTGCAAGAGGCGGTGTAATTCTTCCTAAGTATTTAGTATATATTTAAGGCGTCTAGAGAAAGACTAAGAGCATGTTTGCCGGATGCTTATTTTACAAGGGCTTATAAGTTACTTATATTTTTACTTATTTCGTTAGAGTGCAAAATAATCTTTTAATATCAATAAATAAATCTTTTTATAGGTGCCAAAAAAATTAAGTTGGAAAATCTCAATTTATTATCTTCTGCTTATAAGAAAATAAGAGAAGTAAACTTATTAAACATGATCTTAGATCCTTGTAAGGAAAAACTTATATATTAAAATAAGTAGGCTACCAAGAATAGGAAATTGTAACTTGGAAATCTCTAAAAGTTTAATTTCCACCATTTCCATCCCTAAAACTTACCCACAATATCCAATAAAATATTATTTTTATCCAATAACTCATCCACATCATCCAATAAAATATTATTTTCACCCAACAACTCATCTCATATCATCCAATAAAATAAACTAAACAAAAGAAATGAGTCACATCATCCAACTCATCTCATCTCCATCCCATCTCATCTTTAAAAATAATCCACATCATCCAATAATATTATGACAACTCATCTCATCTCATCTCCATTTCATCTCCACCCATTTCCTCCAAAAAAACAAGGAAATTGATTTCCTTAAGTGTGTGTCACATCATCCAATAATATAATGACAACTCATCTCATCTCATCTCATCTCCTATTTTTTAAGAATGAACCAAACACAAGAGAATAACCTATTATAAGAAATAGGTTTCCTATTCTTTGATTTCCTTCTTTTTTAACCAACCAAACAACCTCAAAACAACTTTTCTTAAAAAATTACTCACATCATCCAATAATATGGTGACAACTCATCTCATATCATCTTCTATTATTTGATTTCCTTCTTTTTTTAGCCAACCAAACAACTATAAAACAATTTTTTAAGGAAATAGGTTTCCTATTCCTTGATTTCCTTCTTTTTTTTTTGGCAAGCAAACAGCCCCTAAGGGGCTGTTTGGATGTCTTTAGGAAACTAGAGTATTTATGACACAAAATAGAAAGTGGTTATCCACCTCACCACTTTTCATTCGAGTGTTTACATTGTTTGGTTAGGAATCTTTGTGAATCCTAAAATAATAATATTACAATATTGTTTGGATAGTATAATGTAAACTAGAGTATTTATGACACAAAATGGAAAGTGGTTATCCACCTCATCACTTTCTACAAGATTTTGACTTTTTTATTATTTTTTTGGACACATTTATGACATTGTGTAAGCTTTCCAACAAAATAACTCCTAATTTTGGTGATTTTGCTTTCGGTGACACCTCATCAAAAGGTATAAACTTTTCATGTAAAAAAGAATTTAAACAAACAATGTAAAGTGATGAAAGCTGACATTAGGACTCACTTTTTTTACACTTTCCATCATTTTACATGGTAAAAACATACAACCAAACAGCCCCTAATCAGAGCAAACTTAATGAAAGAATAAAATAAAGGGTACTTACTTTTTAAAAAAAAATCCTTATTAAAGTATATGTGCTGTGGTAATTTTCACTGCACAACGAAAAGAAACGAGCCCATGTGGATAAACAGTAACAAAAGCCAGCCGACGGTGGGACCTGGCTTGTGGAGAGAGAACTTTCTAAAAGCTACATAATTATTTAGTAGAAAAAATAGTTTAAACTTCCTACTTTGGGCCCACATCTGTGAAAAGAAAGTTTAAACCTCTACTTTGGACCTACACGTGTGAGGAGCCCGAACTCCACATGTCCCAAACTACAAACTGTACACTTTTAGATTTAAGATTGCCTTTGGTTTGTTGGCCTTATTTATCTCCAAGTTGCACTTGCACACAACAACTAATTTAGCTCATTTCTAGATAAATATTCTCCCCCAAATAAGAAGATAACATATGATAATCATCAAACACACTGATAGATAATCCTACACGTTACTATTAGCTTTTGCATGCACCCGGTGCTCAATCTTTATCTCACCCAGTTGCATTCTCAGTTCCACGCCAGCTACAGATAGATGAGGGTAAGAGATGCACATATCGGCACAATATCAACCACAACAAAGAGTAAAAGCTCTCAGTAGTCTCATTATACAATTCTCCAAAGATCTCACAGCCGCCTCCAAAAGAACCGGGCTCTATCGAAAGCTCGTGTTAATTTCTTAAGCTCACCCCTTTTGGAAATCAGGCTGGTTCGTCACCGACCGGACCCATGCCCACTTATGATCCTTTGTATCCACCACATTCTTCGCCGACGCCACCTCCTCCACGGGTATATACCCGTAATTCCCGTTGATCGAAACCCAGTGTACCCAGCCATGACTCCATGAATGGACGAGTGGGCGAGCAACGTGCAGTACAGATTATCGGTAGCATTTGCTGGTACTGCCCTTATCATGTACGTCGGATCAATATACTTCACCGTAAGTAACTCCCCCTTATGTTCCTTCGCCCACCATTTCTTCAGCTCCGACTTCAGCCACGGGCCCACGTCGAGAAACACGGGATTGCCGGACTCGTCTCTCTCCTCCTTCTGAGACTCGGTTCTCGGTATCATATCTTGGCCAGCGCCCTCGGCGACGACTATCACAGCGTGTCCATTTTGTTTCAACGTCTGGTCGAGGAATTCGAAGAGACCACCTTTGCCTTCTAAGTAGAACTCTGTTTCGGGGATGAGGCAGCAGTCGACATCGCGGCTGCTGAGGGTGGAGTGAAGGGCGATGTGGCCCGTGCTTGCGCCACATGAGGCTTCACGAGGCCGATGCCGTTGACGGCACTCTCGGCCGTCAAACGCAAGCGGCGTTTAATGGGCTTGTTGCGCCATCTCCACTGCCGTCTGGAAGCCAAACGAACGGTCGATGATGCCGATGTCGTTGTCGACGGTTTTGGGTATGCCAGTGATGGATATGTTCAGTTTGCGCCGTTGGAGTTCTTTGAAGATCGCGAGGACTCCCCTCATTGTACCATCACCCCCTATGCAGTATACCTGTGAGGAGAGAGAGGTCTAAGTGCAATAAATTTTTTTTCAGGATAACTAAAAAGTTCAAGGGCTGATACCCATACAGCACGGCGGGTGTACCTGTGCAATTAACCTTGTGTGGCTCGATGACAATGTGGAAGAACACAAATGTACTTGCACATGTATACATCAGGGCATAATTTGTAACTAGCGTATAGTATCAATAGAGATGTTGAAAAATGTCACTGAGGTGAATGCAATATATCCTATTAAGATCCGGATGGTGCTATCTAGACAACAAGCCCCAGACTACTTTGGAGTCGCAAGAAACAGAACTAGTCAAATTATCACTTCTACTTATATCCCTTATCTTCTGTCAGAAAGATACCAACTCGCAGATGGTAAGTTCCATAACAGAGTCATGTAAAATATTCCATTCTCCAGCAAAGACTTCTTCCTTGAAGTTCCATACTTAATGCATCGGATGTTAACTCAATGCGTAAAGGTTACATCAATAATAGAATGGGAAGGCTTTAGGATTGAGCTTTCATTAGCATACTAATGTGGATATGTCAACCTCAGAGACATGCATAACAGTTCTGATATATATACATAATGGCATCCATATGATAAAGTGAATTTACAAATAGATGGCTACAGAACTTTCACAAATACTAAGTAGGCAAGTATAACTTGCAAAGGAGTTTTCACGATAGCTGTGTTCATTACTATCGTATTCCTATGCAGAACAAAGATTCAGAACCAGAGCTCTCTATCTCATTGTCTTGGCCTTAAGAGTTAAAGAAAAACTGACGGCAGCAAAAACTTACTTGGATATAATGCCTACAGCACTAGTGGCCTTCAGAGATGTATGAAGCAAATAGGAAACTGAATCTTAATTGATCAATAATATATATGCTGCAGAGCAATTCCCAGACAAATTAGCCTCTACTGCAAGTGATAAATCATTTCAAATAAGATAGCAGTTTCCTCCATTGACATCTCAGCCAATTTGTAGAGGACATATGTTGGTCACATATTTCATGGAGTTGATATGTGAGTGAGTTTAATGCCAGATATGGAGCTAAGAAATATTGATATATGAGATTGGGACCAAGACTACTACATTAACATCCGGTAAAAGTGGATCATAAGTCATTATCACTGACTCATGTTACAGTCCAGCAAGATCAATGGCTCATGGTGCAGGAACATCTTCTTCCATTACAAAGTTTCTAAAGACATTGTATATTTTCCAGGATTGCCTTTTTTACCTCAGTTCTAATAATACCTAAGCTAAATGCGATAAATTTTTTAATTCAACATTTATTAGAGAAAATTGCAGTAATTCATTGAGTAGTGTCGTTTAGTTCAGTGACAGTAGTCCATCATGCTCGTTTTTTTTGGGAGAACCAAATCATCATGAACTTCGAACAGTTGTAGTTATTAGTTCAGTTACAATATCTAACTGTCATGTGTTTTGATCAGTTGTAGTTATGAATAAGTTATGCATCCCTAGTCATATGTTGTAAAAGCCTACAAAACATCGGAATTCCACTCATGAAATCAGTGTACAGTGGAAAATAAATGGGAATTTAGGCTGTTGAATCAGGTAAAAGGCATATATCATTCCCTATCCATTATCCAGCCACCACTTGTTTCTGACATATCCTGTTTTTATTCTTCGTTGCCCCATTTCTCGGCACCACACAAGATTAATTTCTCTTTCTTTAGCTCACCTTAATATCTGCTGACATGAAAGATATGGTCCTTTTAATCAATCCCAACTTCAACAGGTTTAAGTACAATATTCTTTCAATGACCATTGTAGGTCAAAGTCAAAACCTTCGAATCAACGATAGTTGAGAACTTCGCGGATTACTATCGAAAACCCAGAGTCGACCCACCACCAATTTAAACTCAGTGAGCCAGCAGCATATCAAACGAACCATACTTCAGCTACTTCTAATTGGTCCGAGCAAGGGTCTACTACCAGTTCAGTTTTCAAAATTCACAATCCCATTCCTCTGTAACTTATCTACTATCTCCTCGCAGACCACTATCTACTAACTACTCCAGAACCATAACTTGACCAATATACGCCACTAATGTTCTGAAACAATATCGAACCACTCGACTCGTGCCATCTATAGACTATTCAAAGTAGTAAACGAATACCCATAACTTAACCAATATACGCCACAAATGTTCTGAAACAAACAACACAAGAGAACTTCGACTCGCACGTGAAAGTTACAGAAAAGCCTAAACCTTCTCCTAATTAAACACGGCCCTTCCCTGTTTAAAAAAAAAAAAATACCCAGGTGAACCAAATTACGCACCAAAACATAAGCTAGCTTCGCCTGCAACAGCCAAACCCAAATCTGGCCAATTCGTTCAGCTTACTTACTCATCGTCGAGCCTAGTAGTAGTTACAGTTAACAAAAGAAAAGAAGGAAAAAAAAAAATTATCAAAACCCAGATTACCTGATTGAACCCTCGCCTCTCGATCGCGTCCACGATCTTTTTCCAGGTCGAACCGCCGCTGGAGGTGGTGGCACGGTGCCGCGCTGCTCTTGGTGGCCCACTCATGCACGCGTCTTCTGGGTCGCAGCTCCGCCGCTCGTCGGTGTAGAAACCCCGAAACCCGGAGGTCACCCCGAATTCTCGGCGCCGTAGAGGCCCACAGGCGCGACGACGGGCTCCGCTGGATGATGGTGTTCATAGCCGGGGCCAGAAGGCGCGGCGCGAAGTGGATGGATGGCGGGCGCAGCGCGGCGGAGGGTGGAAGTGGACGTGCGGGGCGGTCCGGCGCGGCGGTATGGCGAGGGAGGGGAGGGCGGTGGGGCCCCCGGGGGAGAGTCGGAGGAGGATGTGGCGGAGGATGAGGTTCGGAGGGGGAGGTAGAAAGCCCGGAACGGGTGGTAGTAGGGGTTGGAGACTCAGGGGGTTGGGTGCTGGGGGCTCCGAGGAGAGGCGGGGGAGCTCCCGAGGTGATCGGGGGAGGTGAGCTCAGTTGAGGGGGTGACGGGATCGGCGGGGGTCGGGTCCGGGTTCTAGCTTGGCGCTCATTTCGGCGATCTGCGTTGTTTGTTAGGGGGGTGGACGGCACGATTCGGTGGGGAGGAGGTTTATTATTTAAAGTGGGGGGAGGGGACCGGGGGAAGCGGAGCACGTTCTGTAGAGGGAAAGAGGAGGGGCAGGGAAACGGGGAGGCGGGGTGGAACGGGCACCCGGTTTTCCCACCAATGACCGAGTGGGTCAATTCGTCAACTCGTAAAAGTAGACCGGACCAAGGATTTTCACGAACCCGCCCCAAAACGAAAACGGAACCTTGCATGCATGTATATCAGAAAACCGCCTTTAACTTTGAAAATATCAGAAAAGCGCCCTTAACTTTAAGGGTTATCAGAAAACCCCCTTAGCTTTGAGATTTTGTTGGGAAACCTCCTAATTTAGGCGCTTTTTTGGTTAATTCTCAAAGTAAAGTGGGGTTTTCTGATAAAATTTTAAAGTTAAAGGGGTTTTGTGAAAATCCCCATATTTAAGGTGTTTTCTGATATTTTAAAAGTTTAGGGGTGTTTTCTATTAATTTTCCAAAGCTAAGGGGTTTTTGTTCCTGATATTTGAAGCGAGAGCTAAATTTAGCCTGGCTAGTTTAATTAAAAATGATTGGGAACTAACATTTGCTACGTTTGATTTAAGTTTTTGTTTGAGTCAATTTAATTGTTTTTCGTTTCTTGGCTAGTTAGCAATTAAATAACTTACAATTTTTCTATTTTGCATTTATATACCCTCACTTGTTTCCGACAACATTTGTTTACTCTAAAGTTTTTAAAAGTTGCACTTTAAATACCGTATTCATGCAAGTATGAGAATTTTCCTCCGAATTCCCACTGTGATACTCGTTGGCTAATTTTATAACTTTTAGTCCTTAATTTTTGTTGAATATATTGTTAAGCATACTCTGATCCATTTTAAACCTATTCCAACTATATTTTAAAATAGAAATATGATATGTTTAACAATATATTCATCAACATTAATAAGGGCTAGAAAGTTCTAAAATTAGTTTGTGAATTTCATATGATAGGATTCAAAGAAAATTTTCAAGTTTGCATAATATAAAGTATTAAATTGCAAATTTTAGAAACTTCAAGGTATATAAATGATGCCCAAAAAACAGGTACACGAGTACAAACTAGGGAAAACTAATTAAGGTGTTCAATTGCTAATTAGCCTTTCTATCTCATGATTTAGTTTATTTCCGTCCACTTTTTCCCCGCAATATTTTCCGGGTGACACTAGGGGCACACCCCCAAGCACAACTCCAACCACACATCTTCTCTCATTTGTTACAGTGCACCGAGCCCCACATGGGATTTTAAAATTTTAAAATCCCATGTGAAGCCCGGTGCACTGTAGCAAATGAGAGTGGGGGTATGATTAGAGTTGTGGTTGGAGGTGTGTCTCTATCATTTTACATATTTTCCGCCCCACGCGCAATTTAGCTTCCTTATTAAGACCAGTTCCCTTTGGATTGGCTGTAGTCGAGTCAGATTATAGGCAAAAACTTGCATTCTGGCCCTTGTTCATGAACCTAAACCACGATAATTTGAGTTGAATTCCTACTGATGAGGTTATTAACCGTCTCTCACGCCTCTGTCATCCCCAAAAGCACACCAAAACTAATGGTCCTGTCCTCTCACTTCCACTCTCACCTCCACTTCCCAAGTCCCACTACCGCATCATCAAGAAACCCACCTCCCCAATTCTCCATTCCCTCCAGAAACCCCAACACTACTTCTCTCTCACCCAGAGAGCCCCTCCTTCCACTCACAAGCTCACCCCACCAGAGCCCATCAAGCTGTTTTTCTCATCTTGAAGCCTATTCATCCCTTCTAGAGCTTTGTGCTTCCCAAAAGGCAATCAAACAAGGCCAACAAATCCATGCCCACATCTTGAAATCCACCTCATTGTCCAACGACGGGTTTCTCCCTACTAAGCTATTGTTCATGTATGGGAAATGTGGGCATCTTTTTGATGCCCACGATCTGTTTGACGATATGCGACACAGAACTGTTTTCTGTTGGAATGCACTTGTCGGGTCCTATTCATCTCATGGGCAGCATAGCAAGGCCATTGAGTTGTATATGGAAATGCGGGGCTCAGGCGTGATGCCCGATGCGTGCACTTTTGCTTCTGTTCTTAAAGCTTGTGGTGGGTGTGAAGATCTCCATTTGGGTAGTGAGATCCATAGCTTAGCAATCAAACGTGGGATCAGTGCGACCACTTTCGTGGTCAATGCACTAGTTGCCATGTATTCAAAGTGTGGAAGATTTGATCTTGCAGTAAAATTGTTTGAAATGGCGCCTGATGCAAGAGATGTTGTGACTTGGAACTCGATTATATCAGCTTGTGTACAAGATGGGAAGTTCTATGCGGCTCTGGACTTTTTCCGGGAGATGGGCAAATCTAGGGTTGATATGAGTTCTTACACTGTTGTAGCTGTTCTTCAGGCTTGCACTGAACTTTTGCTTGTGAAGTTGGGTATGGAGATCCATGCCTCACTTCTGAAGTTAAATCGGAGATTTCACATTTTTGAGAGTAATGCTCTTCTTGTTATGTATTCAAGATGTGGCAGAATGGGAGATGCAATCCGAGTGTTTGATGAGATGGATGAGAAAGATAAGGTCTCGTGGAATTCCATGCTCTCTGGTTATGTTCAAAACGGTTTATATGTGAAAGCTATTGAGTTCTTCAATGAAATGCTTGAGTCAGGCTTTGAATTTGATGAGGTATCAATCATAAGTTTAGCCTCCGGATTAGGTCGGTTAGAGAACTTACACAGTGGCAAGGCGATCCATGGATGTGCTATAAAATGTGGGTTTGATTCTGAATTGCAAGTGGGAAACACACTAATCGATATGTATACGAAATGTGGCAATGTAAAGTATGCAGAGCTTGTTTTTCATAAAATGCCTTCCAAAGATTATATATCATGGACCACTGCCATTGCTGGTTATGCGCGGAGTTCCCGTCATCTAGAAGCATTTGAATTATTTAGGGAAGTGCAAAGATTAGGAATGGAAGCAGATCCCGTGATGATTGGGAGCATACTGCTTGCTTGCAGCAGTTTTGGGTGTCTTTCCCTCTTAAAGCAGATTCATGGTTATGCTATAAGACACGGATTGTTAGATCTCTTACTGAAGAACACAATCATAGACATATATGGAGACTGTAGGCAGGTTTCTTATGCTAATAGAATTTTTGAAAGGTTAGAAGATAAAGATGTTGTATCTTGGACTAGCATGATAAATTGTTACGTTGATAATGCGCTCTTTAATGAGGCTCTTAGTTTGTCCTTAGACATGATTAAAGCCAATATTGACCCTGATGCAGTTGCACTTGTTAGCATCATTGCAGCTGTATCTGGTATGTCCTCATTGATTAAAGGTAAAGAAATCCATGGCTTTGGTATTAGAAGAGATCTCGCCATGGATGGATTGATGTGCAATTCACTAATCGATATGTATGCTCTGTGTGGAAGGATTGATGCCTCCTTTAAGATATTCAACAGGCTGAGAACCAAAGATTTGGTTCTATGGACAACAATAATTAGAGCATGTGGCTTGCATGGCAAAGGCAAAGAAGCTATCGAAATTTTCAATGAAATGGAGGATATGGGTTTAGTACCTGATCATGTTGCATTCTTAGCTCTTCTGTATGCTTGTAGCCACTCAGGACTAAACCATGATGGGAAAGTTTACTTCGATAAAATGATTAATGAATACAAATTGGACCCTTGGCCAGAACACTATGCATGTGTCGTTGATGTTCTTGGTCGTTCAGGGAGAGTGGTCGAAGCTTTCAAGTTCATACAATCTATGCCTGTGGAACCAACAGCTGCTATATGGTGTTCACTCCTTGGGGCATGTCGGGTTCACTCGAATCACCAGTTAGCTGAAGTTGCTGCAGAAAACCTTCTTGAATTGGAACCTGAGAATCCGGGAAATTATGTGCTCGTATCTAATGTCTTTGCTGCAATGGGGAAATGGGAAGAGGTGGATACAGTGAGAGCAATGATGGAGGATAAAGGATTGAGAAAAGAGCCAGCATTAAGCTGGATTGAATTGGGAAATAAAGTGCATAAATTTGTAGCAAGGGATAATTCTCACAGGGACATGGAGGAAATCTATTCAAAGTTAGAAGAGATAACAAAACGGTTAGAAAGAGAGGGTGGATATGTTGCGGACACTAGATTTGTTTTGCATCATGTGGAAGAAGATCAGAAAGTTAAAATGTTGAATGGACACAGTGAGAGGCTAGCAATTGCTTTGGGTTTGATTCATACCCCTGATAGAACGCAGATACGGATATTTAAGAACCTTAGAGTGTGTGGTGATTGTCATGAATTTACTAAGTTTGTGTCGAAATTTTTTGAACGAGAAATTATTGTGAGGGATGCCAATAGATTTCACCATTTCAGAGATGGGTGTTGTTCATGTGGCAACTTCTGGTAACTGAGAAAATAAAATAAAAAATGGGGTCCTGCTATGACCTTAATACCTACAAGGAGCTACAATGAAGGTAATCTTCACTGTTATCCAGTTATTGAATTCATGAGTTTACTAAGTTTGCGCACTATTTTGAATGGAACATTATAATGACGGATGCCAATAGATTTCACCATTTCAGAGACGGGTATTGTTCTTGCAGCGACTTCTGATGATTGAGAAAAAAGCGCAAAAGTTGAGCAAATTTATGAAAGTCTTCTTATGTGGGTGCTGCTTCGACATACTAAAGACCTACAAGGAAGGTGGACTTCATAGTCATCTAATATTGAGTTCATAAAATTTCTTTACGGTGTTAAATGAAGGCGGTGTGATATTTGATTGACATATATTTACATTGAGTTAACAGGTTTTTGGAAGCTTATTAACTTCACGCATACAGTTTCAAGTTACTTTGAAGAGGTTTTGATGCTATTTTGACTAGGTGACAGATCATTGCATAATCAAATTCATCCAAGCTGTTCTATGGTCTCAGAGGTAAATAACTTGTCTATACTTTTCTATTTCTAAATATACACTGAATTATTTTCTTTTACTGTTCCACAATTTAGTACTTTATATATATATGTGAGGTTTCCTTAGCTCTGAAAGTCTTGATGTTCTAATTCTTCGCAATTTCTCCAATACCAAATTTGTTAGTTTCCTTATTGGATTTGGTGCAATGCTGTAAAGAAATTCGACTATGGCATATGTATTTAGCACACACCAATGCATTTGCACGTTCCCCATGAATATCGCCAAGGTTCTTTTCAAAGGATTTGGAGTTAAATCCTTTCAACTCAAAATCAATGATACTAAAACCAAATTTTATCCATATTTGCAAGTGGTCTGTATCATTTAGAGTCTCTAAAAGTAAAAAAATCAAGTGATTTTAGGTTTGTTTCCTTATAGTTTTTAGTTTTATGGTCTAAAGCATTTGAAACCCAATAAAAATTGGTGTGTAAGGATTTATAGTGTCTTAGATGATGACTTAGTGTTTGAATTAATAATATGTGTGTGTGTGTGTGTAATCCAAACCATAAACACAAACAACTCGATATTTTTAATCGTCCACTTTTTATCTCTACTTGATGATTAAGGAAGAAAACCCAGATCTCATGATTTTTTTTGTTACCTTTATATTCATTCTAAAATTTTGATCAACTTTTACGTAGTGAAACTTATACTTGGATTGAATTTAGCTCCAAATCTTTCTTTTTGCAGCTTAAAGTAGGATATGGATGCAGATTCTTTCCATTCAAAATGTGCATATTCATCCCAAAACACCACATGGTGAAAGAAAAATAATGCTCTACATAGAGTTCATAAAGCTTCCCCATCCCCTCAAAAAACAAAAGGAAGAAAAAGGTTGCTTGGTCTGTCAACAGTACATAATGTTCTATGTCTTCTTCCTCTACTAGTACTGGCTCATCCTACTCCCCTACTTTATCACCTTCTGATCACTCGATGGCACCGATTTATTATCTGCGCATATCCTTTACTACAAATCTTTCTCCTAATCGTTTTCTAGTACCCCCTACAAGGAAACGGCTCTTGAAATTACAAATTTGTATTTTATCCCTGCTTTCGATATTTCAACTGTGGCAATATACATTATAGTCTGCCCTTTCTGCCTAACCGATGATGGCAGAAGTTGTGGTGTTGCGGTTATCCAGGCCTTGGTTTTATCCTGAAATTCTGACCCACTAGCATCTAAAAGCACCATCTTCCATATTGTGAATGTTAGCTACTTCAACAACACAATAAAAGCCATCTATTTCGCCCTTTATAGGCGCACGCGTTCATGCTTAGTCTCTGTCCTCCCTTGCAGAATGAAATGATGCCTTCTAATTCAACTGCTTTGTGAGGGGAGTCGCTATTTCGAGCTTGTCTAGGAAGTAAATCTGGACTGTCTAGGTTTTATTACCGAATTTAATTCTATTTAATTAAAGGATTTGTTGAGCATAAAGTAGGGGGATGCATATCTATATGTCATATCATATAATCATATCATTAAATTGTAAATTTATGAACATGAAACTTTTTAATTTGATTCAAATAAAAAAATGTGAATGAATCTTTTGTGATATCTTTTTTTTTAATAAAATTTCTGTCAAGAACAATTTATTATCAGTTTTTGAAAAGTGTGACTACTTACTTATATACATGCATGCCATATTTGAGCATGAAGATAATAAAATACATTACAAAGAATTATCTCAAATTTGAGGACTAAAACTGTGCTGCAGAAGGCCTTTGGGTGAGAGACATTAGTGCGATGGGTTTATGAATTAGAGATTTAATTAAAATTTTCTAACTCTATATGGTGTTAATTTGAACCATTGAGTTTTTTTTTTTCAATCAGAAGTGCAGGGGAAAGTACCAAGAATGTTAAGGTCCAAGTATTCTGGATGGAAATTGGAAGAGGAATGTTAATTATGGATGGAAACGAGATCTGGAGAGATCCTGGGGTACATAAGGGGCATTTTGGATAATTTCTACATGCTTAGTTGCTAATTAACCATAATCATAGACCATTGACAGAATCCTAAACGTGTAGGAGAGACTCATCTCACTTTAAGGACTAAGTATATCAGAACATTCACATTTCGAAATTAATATTTCGGGGATGAATTACATGATATATATATTACGAAGCCCACACTCTTCTAGCATATGGGTATTTTAATTTAAAAAATGTTTTTGTATAGATACCCTCAGCTATATAGCTTTTTATTTGTCATTAAAAAATTACTGATTACATGTAAACCTTTTGCATGCATCAAATTTGAACCTAGCCTTTGTCATCAGCAACTGGTATATTGACGTTGGTTAAATACTGGTTAAATCTAGCTCATTGTTAACTACATATGCAAAATTGTTAGTTAATACCTCAATAATTCATCTGTCTAGTAGAATACAATTAAGATGCAGTATATTTATAATTTTTTTATTCTTCTAGGCCATCCTTGTTTCAAATTAAAAAATAAAACTGACCCAAAATTAGCTAGTGCCTCCCAGGTAATCTACAATTTTATTTTAAACTTGTGTGATCATATCAGCTTTCTCCTTATTCATGATGTTAAAATTTCTTTTGCAAAATAAAATCTTCGCTCTTGCATCTATTTCACAAGTTGATTACTTTAACATCTAGCATATTTAGTGAATATAAATTAGTCTTTGTCTAGATTTCACTAACGTATTCATCAATACTAATATCATAGTTTTAAAGAATATAGAAGAATTTAAATATTCTTTGACGTTGCATATGTAATTAAAAATTTTCGGAAGGTTATACACGGAAACAGACCAAAAAGATCGTAATTTTAATTCGTTTTGAAGCTATTGCTGTAGTTGCAGAGAAGTTTCCAGAACTTTCTGACTCTGCATGACTAGCTCCATATAAGGAAAACTGTGCTAGCTGCAGACTGCAGACGCTCCCTCTACGAAATTTCTCAGATTTGTTCTGCGTAAAAATCCTTCAAGCTAGCTATATTCCGAGCATCAAAAGCTATCCAAGTATGAAGGTATCTATCTCCAAATCTCTGAACTCGTATTTGTCGCATTGCTTTTCCCACCTGTTTTCCCCTCCATAGCGAAGTTCAATGAAACCTATGGTTTCCACAAACTTTTTATTTGTGGAGAAAAAGATAGTAATCAAGGTGCAGATGAGCTGCGACAAATGTGATGAAGCTAGAAGACACTCTGGAACAAACTGAGATAACTCAGTTCAACGAAGGCACTGAAGGGGAAATTGCACTCACAGAGAAGTAGGCTATCTAAAACGTTGAATAAAGCACAGAAGAGTTTGAGAATATTTTATTGATTGGATGTTGCTCATTAACTTAAAAACAAACACTCGCTTTAAATAAGAGAAAAACTTAACAGACTCAAAACCAACCTATCCTAAAGATAAGATCAAATCCCGCAACCAACTCATGAATCCCGCAACCAATTCGTGCTGTTGATTGACCGCTTCTCTCGGTCCGGCTTGTAGCCACGTCATGATTATTCCAACATGCTCCCCCCTAATCTTAACGTGGGGAAGACGGATCTTTGACGCCAATGTGCTCGCACATCTCCTTGAATTTGATTCTAGCAAGTGCCTTAGTCAGAATATCAGCACGTTGTTTTTCAGTACTCACATGCTTGACAACGATCAGTTCCTTTTCCACGCACTCTCGGATGAAGTGAAAACGAGTATCGATGTGCTTACTGCGTCCATGGAACACTAGATTCTTCATTAAAGCTATTGCAGACTTGTTGTCGATGTAAAGAGTGACTGGCTTGGGCTTACAACCAGTCACCTCGCTGATCAAACTCCTCAGCCATAGTCCCTGACAAGCTGCTGCAGTTGCTGCCATGAACTTGGCTTCACATGAGGATAATGCCACAGTTCTCTGCTTCTGAGATGCCCAAGTGATTAGATTCTCGTCGAGGTAGAATGCCATGCCACTAGTACTTCTTCTGTCATCGACATCCCCGGCTAGATTGCTATCAGTAAATCCGACCAACTCCTCAACTTCATGTCCTTTTCCATACACAAGCCCGTAGCTAATGGTTCCCTTCACATACCTTAGGATTTGCTTGACCGCCTGGTGATGCATGGTAGTAGGCCTCTCCATATACCGACTCACCAACCCGACGGAATAAGAGAGATCCGGACGGGTGTGAGTCAAGTACCTCAAGCATCCGATGACGCGCCTGTATTCCGTTGGATTCACCAATGTTCCATTAACATCCTTTCCGAGTTGCAGCTTTGGTTCCATGGGGTATTTTGTCGGGTTGCATTCGCTCATTTATCCTGAAATTCTGACCCACTAGCATCTAAAAGCACCATCTTCCATATTGTGAATGTTAGCTACTTCAACAACACAATAAAAGCCATCTATTTCGCCCTTTATAGGCGCACGCGTTCATGCTTAGTCTCTGTCCTCCCTTGCAGAATGAAATGATGCCTTCTAATTCAACTGCTTTGTGAGGGGAGTCGCTATTTCGAGCTTGTCTAGGAAGTAAATCTGGACTGTCTAGGTTTTATTACCGAATTTAATTCTATTTAATTAAAGGATTTGTTGAGCATAAAGTAGGGGGATGCATATCTATATGTCATATCATATAATCATATCATTAAATTGTAAATTTATGAACATGAAACTTTTTAATTTGATTCAAATAAAAAAATGTGAATGAATCTTTTGTGATATCTTTTTTTTTAATAAAATTTCTGTCAAGAACAATTTATTATCAGTTTTTGAAAAGTGTGACTACTTACTTATATACATGCATGCCATATTTGAGCATGAAGATAATAAAATACATTACAAAGAATTATCTCAAATTTGAGGACTAAAACTGTGCTGCAGAAGGCCTTTGGGTGAGAGACATTAGTGCGATGGGTTTATGAATTAGAGATTTAATTAAAATTTTCTAACTCTATATGGTGTTAATTTGAACCATTGAGTTTTTTTTTTTCAATCAGAAGTGCAGGGGAAAGTACCAAGAATGTTAAGGTCCAAGTATTCTGGATGGAAATTGGAAGAGGAATGTTAATTATGGATGGAAACGAGATCTGGAGAGATCCTGGGGTACATAAGGGGCATTTTGGATAATTTCTACATGCTTAGTTGCTAATTAACCATAATCATAGACCATTGACAGAATCCTAAACGTGTAGGAGAGACTCATCTCACTTTAAGGACTAAGTATATCAGAACATTCACATTTCGAAATTAATATTTCGGGGATGAATTACATGATATATATATTACGAAGCCCACACTCTTCTAGCATATGGGTATTTTAATTTAAAAAATGTTTTTGTATAGATACCCTCAGCTATATAGCTTTTTATTTGTCATTAAAAAATTACTGATTACATGTAAACCTTTTGCATGCATCAAATTTGAACCTAGCCTTTGTCATCAGCAACTGGTATATTGACGTTGGTTAAATACTGGTTAAATCTAGCTCATTGTTAACTACATATGCAAAATTGTTAGTTAATACCTCAATAATTCATCTGTCTAGTAGAATACAATTAAGATGCAGTATATTTATAATTTTTTTATTCTTCTAGGCCATCCTTGTTTCAAATTAAAAAATAAAACTGACCCAAAATTAGCTAGTGCCTCCCAGGTAATCTACAATTTTATTTTAAACTTGTGTGATCATATCAGCTTTCTCCTTATTCATGATGTTAAAATTTCTTTTGCAAAATAAAATCTTCGCTCTTGCATCTATTTCACAAGTTGATTACTTTAACATCTAGCATATTTAGTGAATATAAATTAGTCTTTGTCTAGATTTCACTAACGTATTCATCAATACTAATATCATAGTTTTAAAGAATATAGAAGAATTTAAATATTCTTTGACGTTGCATATGTAATTAAAAATTTTCGGAAGGTTATACACGGAAACAGACCAAAAAGATCGTAATTTTAATTCGTTTTGAAGCTATTGCTGTAGTTGCAGAGAAGTTTCCAGAACTTTCTGACTCTGCATGACTAGCTCCATATAAGGAAAACTGTGCTAGCTGCAGACTGCAGACGCTCCCTCTACGAAATTTCTCAGATTTGTTCTGCGTAAAAATCCTTCAAGCTAGCTATATTCCGAGCATCAAAAGCTATCCAAGTATGAAGGTATCTATCTCCAAATCTCTGAACTCGTATTTGTCGCATTGCTTTTCCCACCTGTTTTCCCCTCCATAGCGAAGTTCAATGAAACCTATGGTTTCCACAAACTTTTTATTTGTGGAGAAAAAGATAGTAATCAAGGTGCAGATGAGCTGCGACAAATGTGATGAAGCTAGAAGACACTCTGGAACAAACTGAGATAACTCAGTTCAACGAAGGCACTGAAGGGGAAATTGCACTCACAGAGAAGTAGGCTATCTAAAACGTTGAATAAAGCACAGAAGAGTTTGAGAATATTTTATTGATTGGATGTTGCTCATTAACTT